CTGTTCAACATTATATAGGTTAATAACCAAGGATTTTTCATCTTTATCTGTGTCAGAGGTAGTTAGTATTAAGAAGACTTTTATAATTATTAAATTATTTGATATTTTAGGAAAACCAGGTTAAAAATATTTACTTTGTTTCTTTCTACAGTATAATAGTTTTTAAACATAATCTAATATCTTATATAGGTTTCAGACCATGTCTTTATAAATAAAACAGTAAAAGAAATGTCACATTCTCATGTTAGCATTATCAATTGTGTTTCCATTCATTCTAGTTAGTTTATTGATTTATTTCTATTATTGTTCAAACTATCTGCTCTGACAGAACATTCAGCTTGAACTTCAGTGTGGTGTTCATAGTTTGATCTACTGCCTCTATAAATGTTGATATATTTTCGAGGAAAAGATATTTAGTTACTCTGTGTGTGTTTAGTGATCTGTGTCAGAGTCTGCTGTGACATTCAGCTGGAGTTTCTGTTCAGTCTGACTGAGGGAGGTTTTTGTACGACTGTTTTTCACTGTGTGAACACGTACTGACTGTTGATGCTATGAAGACTCTGACAGTAGTAAACTCCAGTATCTTCAACCTGAACTCCGCTGATGGTCAGAGTGTAGTCAGAACCAGAACCACTTCCACTGAAACGATCAGGGACTCCAGACTGACGGCTGCTTCCACATCTTATAAGGAGTTTAGGAGCATCTCCTTGTTTCTGAAGGTACCATTGGAAGCAGTAACCTGTACTTGGATTAACTTCACATGTAATAGAGACAGTCTGTCCTGGAACAACAGACTGAGATCCTGGAGTCTGGGTTATAGTGACTTGACCTGATGATCCTAGAAACACAAAATAAAACTAAATTTTCTTGGAGAAAATTTGAGCTTAAAGACATTACATCACCATCCAAACCAAAGCTGGTTGATATTGTATCCTGGGGAACACGGTTACATCTTAAGCCAAAGTTTTCAACAGAGAGTCTCACCCTGAACCAGGAGCTCCAGGATGGTCAGCAGTAGAGTCAGTAACATCATCATTGTGCTGCTGGTGGTTCAGTG